GGGCACAAAAACGAGTGAAATGAAGTAACACAAAAACTCTGGCAGGTCTCCACTTGGCACTTACATTATCATGTAATTAACAGAAAGTGCTACATAGGTGGAGTTTAAAATAATCGAACTCTCATGCGTCCGTACCTTTGAGACACGTAGGAACGGAGCCATTCCAGTTTCCCTGATCGGTACATTGAAGGGTGTTTGCCCCCACGAGAGAGTATCCTTCCTTACAACTGAACCTGTGCTGAGATCCCTCCACCGACCCATTCCCACCAACGAATCCATTTGGTATGAATGATGGAAGACGAGGACATTCTGGAGAAAGAGATAATAATGTGGAAAGTCATTCTTTCAAAGGAGCTCATCAGACCATGGGTTATCTAAATTCTTAAAGCTGATATTTGCAGTCCACTTCACCCTTCTCTATTCTTGCTCCTTCTTAATTTGTGATTGAATGACTCATTTGTGTTTTTTCTATCTTATCAAACATGATTTTGAATCATCTTTATAACTGAAGGCTCGCTTCTCTACCTAAAATTAATGATTCAATGTAACTTGACGTAGCTCTGGTAAATTGCGTCCATAAAGGATTTTGTGCGCAAGCTTAACTAAGGGGATAGTTTTTGAAATATCTCTACCTGCATCTCTACGACCAAAAAAAGCGCCGGTGTTCGCTGTTTTCATAACATCAGACCTCGTAACTCAATAAAACACATGTTTTGCAGTTCGGAAAATGCAAAACATGCGGCAACGATTCCTGCAATAGGTGTTGTAACCACACGCCATTTGTCAAATTTAATTTGAGATAGATATCTGTACCTCTCATACATATGGGAACACTGGCATTCCACTTTCCCTCATCGGTACAGTGTAAAGTGGCTTGGCCTACCAGAGAGTAACCGGGGCGACAGCTAAACCTGTGGTGTGATCCTTGCAAGCGACCCGAACCATTGACTTCGCCGTTTGATATTGAAGAAGGGAGCCCTGGGCATTCTGCAAGTATTTAAGGCAACTCTTAGGTCATTTAGAACAATCGATCATGAGATCGTATAATCAAATCTAATACTATTTTCCCTTAATGTTACCGGGAATTTTATTACGCTGTCTCTTTAGGTTTCCAAGGCAAATCATCCTTCGCAATTAGAATTTTTGGCGAGCCAGTTTTTTCCTCAAGGAGTAAAATTCACTTTTTTTTGTCCCAATAACTAAAAAAGATCTCGGTTTTTAGCGGAAAATGAAGAATTGGAAATACATTTGTTCTGGTTTCATTTTCTTGAGCTAATTTTTATCCTTATTGATTTTATTTCAACAGCATCATTCAGTTCATGACAAAATTATCTGATCGGCTGTTATTTTGAACCAACTTAGCGACAAAACGGAGAAAAATAACCATTTGAATCGAGGTTGGAGTTTATCATGATCTGCATTGTTTAAAAAGATCTCATGGTCATTTGCGAATTGAAAGCGAACTTATTTTCACGGTAATCGATATCAAGGATCGAGAAACGACAGTCAAGGAACTGGAATCGAGGGAAGGAGGATCGGGTGTCAAGAATCTGTTAAATCGTTACGCCAGGAAGTGACTTGGGACTCTAGTCCCCTGGAATTAACTGAATGTAGCGATATTAGAGTGAGCCTAAAAGATCTGAGGATACATGCATTAACACTGGAAAGTTGCACGTATATAATTTTCAGAGAATGCAGTTTAACTTCTCCTTGTCTTCAAAAAAATTGATGATTTCATAATGATCGATCCTTAACATCCATCCCCGATCCTTCATTCCTAATCCTTGATCCGCGATCGTTCTTTTCTAGGAAACCCATCTAATGTATTAAGGCTAAACTTGATACCTCGCAAACAGACGGGTTTTGTACCATTCCATGAGCCATTCGCCTTGCATGTCACGGTATTGTCACCAACCAAGACATATCCACCGTTGCACAGGAAATGATACGTTGAGAGATAAACACTGCCGTTCCCGTGAAAGCGACCATTCTTAAGATGCCAAAGACGAACTGGGCATTCTTTTAAAGAGGAAATCAAAATGTGTAATGTTATCACTCGGTCATTTGATTAATTTTTTTCTGTCTTTCAAAGGTAATTATCTACCACGGGGACATCAGTGACACACTCACCATCTACCTGTGCTTCTTTCCGTTCTTATTTACAGTCAGACTTAAGTGACCGGTCATTACTATCTCCTGTGAGGGGAGGCGGGGTTCAGTGGATTATGGTTGTGTCCCGATATAATTTGCTTGATCCCCCCTATAGAGCTCTGTAATATTCATATGAACCTTTCCCCTCATTAGCAGTTAATTAGCAGTTAATTGGCAGTCAATGATCTATGCCCCCCCTCCCCTCCGGCGACGACTGACGACGAATCTCCCTTCCGTTTCTCCTGGAAACCATCTGATCCTTTGATCCCCCAAAAACCTTCTACCACTTTCCCTTGGTGATTAGTAAGACTGCTCCTACAGTTGAGATCTAAAGTTGATCAGTCAAAATAGCCACCTTAAACAGATTTTTTTTCTTGTCAACAAAATTTAATTTGCAGTTTCAAAGAGGCGAAATGAAAATGTAAACGAAAGTTAAAAAAGTAAATTAAAACAACTTAGTTTCCCGCTAAAAAATTGTAACCTATCATTTAAGTATTTTCAGACATAACGACTGAAATTTCATGGTATCAAATTCAATCACGCGAGTGTCTACTGTGCACGCTGATGACGTTTGTGCATGCATTGGAGGGTAGCAGAAAACGTTTCTATAAAATAAAAGAATTTTTAGTACCGCCGCGCCTCGAGAAACTCTAAAATGTCTTGCCTGCCCCTTTAAATTTCCGCGAGCTTCAAACCTCAATGGACATATACAAACGAATGAACCAATTGTTGGTTCGATAGAGAAGCTATCGTGGATTATCTGGCAAAAGATGCATTTCTTGGAAAGCGTCCAATACTATTACGGCGTCTCTGCACTAAAATGATTTCTATGGCCTTCATTCTTTCGTTCCTAAGACTGATTAAAGTATCATTGAAAGATTTACCAAGTTCGGTGTTACAAAAACTGGTTTGATCGTTCAGATAAGAGAGATTGCGGGGAATACCGTTGTCGGTTGTAGTGACTAACGTTTCGACAGCCTTAACTTTGTTGAAGACTTCCGCTCAAGTTGTCGAAACCTCTTGTCACTGCTATCACCTGCAGCCTTCCATACGTTAAATCTCAGCCACATTATTAGACTAAACGTTCAAATTTTGATTTAGAGGTATCAATCAATCAATTTTATTTCCATGCTGACCCAAGTTGTATTCATTTATATCGCTTGTTATCAAACGATATCAATTATCGATGTTATCGATTGATTATGGCGGGAGCAAAACACAATTAAAGTCAGCGTAACAATTTTTAAGGCATGCTGTGAATGAAAATAGTTGCAAAAAAAAAATTAATGATTGGTCTACTTTACCTTTCGGCAAGCAGTTTGGAGCTGAACCATTGTACAGTCCATCTTTACACGTTACGTGACTAGAACCGTTCAGAACGAAACCTTCATTGCATGCAAACTTGTAATCAATCCCGCCATCGGTGTCATTTCTGTGAACAAACCCATTAGTCAGCTGCGAGTCCAGTGGTACGCAAGCTGAAAAATAGAGACAACATCACACAATTTAGCAACCCTTGCGATGGATATATCAGTCTTTAGCCATGAGAAAACAGGAAGGAGACCTGGAACAATGCGGGAAATGGAAAATATCCTTAGATGCGTTTTCGTTTGGTATCGGGTCCTTGGAACGCTAAGAATCGTTGGAGAATGACTTGGTGTAAAAATTTTCTTCTGTATGAATATAATCGATATCTCATGCATGAAAGATCGTTGCACCGGTGGACACCGCTAACAGAATTGAGCGATTAACAGGACGCCCAAAGCTCTGTTTTCAACTGCAGACACGGAGCGCAAAGCCTTCTGGACGAAAAAAGACTTTTTTTTCTGTAAATAAAAGTCATTTTCACCCCAAGAGGCCCAACATAGGCTTGCCTCGTTGTTCAATTTACGTGACGCCCAAAGCTCTGTTATGAGCCGTAGACACGGAGTGAAAAACATTTTGGACGAAATGTAAAGAAAACTCATTTTCACTCAAAAACACCTCTCGTTTTGCAATTAAGAATTGTAGGAGCTCGTGAATACTCCAATGGACAGATCAACTATTGTGAATTGATGTTTAGCTATTGCAATAAACTATGAAATTAATATTCTTAACCTGGCTTCACAGTGTCGTTTACAACAGCAACAAACTGAGTCACAATCTCTTTTGTTGCTCGTCCGATTCGCACTTTGCCAGTTGTGAAAATATCGAACAAACACTCGGAGCTATCTCCACAGACATTCTGGGCCTCCTTCTCCAGCACCTTATCGGTAAAGTCCAAGTTTTGACTGTCAGGATATATTGGCTGGAAATTCGGATGGTGAAACGTGGAGTGGTCCTGCCCTTGTTGAT